TAGTGTAGCTATGAGTTGAAGCCTACTTGATTGATGTATATGTAGTGTAGCTATGAGTTGAAGCCTACTTGATGGATGTATATGTAGTGTAGCTATGAGTTGAAGCCTACTTGATGGATGTATATGTAGTGTAGCTATGAGTTGAAGCCTACCTGATGGGTGTATATGTAGCGTAGCTATGAGTTGAAGCCTACTTGACAGCACCTAACAACAATAAGGCTTCAGGAGAACTGGTGGTACACCGGTCAAGCACTCATCTTAAGGTCATCAGTTCAAACTCAGCAGCCACTCTGCAGAAGAAAGATGTGGTGGTCTACTTCAGAAAAGATGAGAGCCTTAGAAACCCTATGGGGCAGTTCTTGTCTGTGCCATCAGTCACTACGGGGCAGAATCAACTTGATGGCAATGCAGAATGGGCAGCAAGCCTCAAGAAGATGTACAGCTCACCGGCACTCAAGGGACCAAGGATAGGCCAACAAGGTCCCATCCGTCCCAGACTGCTGGTGAGCTCAGGCGTGAGCAAGGGCTTGGGGAGAGGACATTGGAATACAGTCTGGAAGGAGGGTCAACTGGTACATTTGCAGGAGGGCACAGGTTGGCGATAGCCAGTAAAATGAAAAAGATGGGTCCTCGGTGACCCAAACACCCACTAGCTGTGCTGTGCCCTGGAGGGACATGCACACATGAGCATAAAGGGGCTAGTGCCCAGGAACCACTGCAGTGTCCCTTGAAATGGGAGAAAACTGCAAACTATAGTGTGGTAGTTAAGGTTGTGTCAACTGGGCCGTGCCTGGTTTTGAGCGGCTGGGCAGCTGGTGGGAGCTATTCCCCATGATGAGACTGGCAATCAGTTCCATGGTGGGATCTGCCAGGAACAGCTGAGTAGCTGCTTTAGGGATGTGGTTTGCTTCCATATACAAGGAGAGGCTTTGGGAATGGTCTATTCTTGGCTTTGGGCACACTCGAATTCTGCATGTAGCCTGCCATGTTGTCTGCCGATCTTGGGCCTCTTAATGGACTTGAATTAGTGACCTGCTGTGTGGTTTGGTAACATCAGGACTGTGCCTTTTTACCTGTCAACCTTGGGCTTGTCAGCCTCAGCAACCAGCAGCTGCCTGAGTGAAGAGACGCCTCTCAGTGGGCCAGGAGCAAGAGGCAGAGCTGAAGCCCCAGGTCGAGGGGCTTTCACCCAGCCCCTAGGGCCTGGCACTCTGAACTTGGACTACTAGACTCCAAAACTGTAAGAGAATAAACTCCTGTTTGTTCAAGCCATCCCCTTTGTGGTAATACTCCTGTCAGAGTGACACTAGGTAACTAGAACATATAGGCTGTCCAATGACCACACTGTGAGCTCCTGGGTGACACCAATGGTTAACCTGCTGGGCTGGTAAGGTGGGAGGTTCTAGCCTGTTTTCATAGGGCCACCTTGGAAGAAAGGCCTGATGATCTAGTTCTGAACAAAGAGCCGTTGAAAACCCTTTGAAGCACAGTCCTGCCCTGACACAGAAGGGGTCGCCATGAGTCAAGTTGACTTGACAGCAACTGGGTTTGGGGTGTTAAAAGGAAGAGTGAGAAGGAGATGCGCCAAGGTGACTAGACCTTCAAGGCCCCGTGCTGAGTAAAAGCACCAAGGGAAGAACACGCCATCTAGTGTGTTACCACCTGTATTTTCATACACAGCATCTTCCAAGGACATGGAAACACGGACACAGAAACACGCAGGGAGAGGTCTACAAGATCTGCACTAGGCTCATAACAGAAAACCTGGAGAATGAAAGGAAGGGTCAAAGGTCTTTCCAATCACATTTTGAGTTTTACTGAGAAAACAGTGATGCACTAAAATGCATTTAGATTTTGTTCATGATTGCCCAGAGCTGGAAATGACCATGATTCACCAATAGGTGAATGGGTAAACAAGCCATGTCCATCCATACCACGGACTGTCATTCAGCATGAAAGTGAGCTATCAAGCTATGAACAGTCAGAGAGACAACTCCAACACATCTTGCTAAGCCAAAGGAGTCAGTCCGAAAAAAAAAAAAAAAACACAAAACTGTGTGATTCCAACTGTGACGCTGTGGAAAAGGTGACGCCATAGAGACTGTGCAAAAGATCAGTGGGTGCTAGGGGCTCAGGGGCAGGGAGGAACGAAGGGCGGGACTGGTCGAGCACGGGGCAATGACACGATCTGTATGACACTGTCCTGGCTGACCCATGACAGTATGCATTTGTCCAAATCCACAGAGCTGAAGGCCAGGAGGCATGACCCCTAAATAGGAGACTTTGGTTAACAACAATGTATCAACATTGACTCACCCATTGTAACAAACCCACCACAGGAATGCAAGGTGTTAAGCAGGGAGAAGCTGCTAGCAAAGGGGCAGGGAGCCGACGGGAAGTCTCCGAACTTTCTGCAGTTTCTCTGTAAACTTGGAATTGCTGTTTTAAAAGAGTCCATTAAATTAATTGAAATGCATTTGAGGACAAGTAAATGCAGGCCACAGACTCCTGACAGAACGGGGGGACGGGGTTGACTTTGTCCTGGGCTATTCCACAGCTGGAGTGCTGGGCCGGCCTTTCAGGAGACTCAGTTAAGAACCCTGGTGGTGCAGTGCTTAAGCGCTCTCCTGCTAACCAAAAGGTTGGTGGGTCAAACCCACCCGACACCCCACGGGA